ATATGTTCTTTTCGGCATAAACGTTTAGGTAAGATATTAGACATTAATATTTTTAATTGTTGTGAAGATCAATTACTGAACGTTACAAAATATTCAAGACGCAAATTTAAAACGGAGCACGCGCCGGTAAGGTTTCTGATTTTCAGAGCGCCGAGTCTGAAGATGGCTGTCTTCTGGGCCTAGAGTCTCACAGACGTTTATCGGAGCTTCAGAGGTTCTTGCTGCCTCCATCATCAGCTTGTAAATACGGGGTTAATATTAAAATGGGTCAAGAAGGCAGGGTGGGAGGGTGTTGAAGGGACTTATCTGGATCAGAACAGAGTCCAGTGAAAGGCTCTTGTGAACACGGTAATGAACTATCCAAAAAAGATTGGCAATTTCTTTTACTAGCCCAGTGGTTAACAGACTGTCAAGAAAGACTATTCCCCATGGACTTAGTTATAACAGCAAGATCCAAAGGAGTGGAAATTCGACAAAGTCTCTTGTTTGCATCTCATGGATGTGAACGGATTAACTTGTACAACCCTGCGGGGGTGGGGGTTCAAGGAAGAGAATCAAGGAGATGACAGAGATAAGAGAAGGGCCTGTCCCTGAGGGCCACAATCCACCTTCATCGCCGTCCCCCCATACATTTTCTGGATCTCGAACCGCAGCCGTGTGCTAATGTTTATCGGCTTCTCATTCCCTCCTATTAAACGTTATCCAAGTGGCAAAATAGAAACAAATAATCTAGCCCAATAACTCGAGCGTGATATATAAACACCCACGAGACAAACTAGTTGCAGCCACAAATACCCTCAAAATTTGCTTTCCGCAACACGGACTGTTACTAAAACAATAAGCTGCTAAGATAGACCAAGTCTCAAGGTACTGACAAAAAAGGAAGACTTTCATAAAATAAGCAGTTTCTTTCTGTTACTCGTTTTGAGTGAGAAATAAATAGTTTCACATTTTTTCCCAAGTTCGTCTGATTACTTTAAATAAAATGCTGCACAAGTATTTTTAAATAGAATTCACTTTCCCACATTTAATTTATCGATTTAACAATCGAAAAGTAAGCTACTTAGAAGCAATATTTCTGTAAGCTGAAGTGCGCTATTTGATCGGTCTTTATTCCTGTTTTAATTCCAGCTAGTCCATTTGCATGAACACATGAATACGTCATACCTTAAAACAGAGAAACTTATGGGCACCCCCGGAAAAGTGGGGATGGGTGTTGGGTGCTGCGAAGGCACTACATGAGCGTAGATGTAGGAGTTGTAATTTCGCTAATGGCTGCACAGACAGACGGACATACGGACATGACAATGCCGTACTGTCAACATAAAAATTACGGGCACAGTGATCAGTCAACATCGACCGCAAACATGGGGCTGAAGGTAATCCTACAGATGAAACTGTGTCAGTAAAAGAGACCTTGAGTAATTGAAATGAAATTAACAAGAGGCCTGCTGAGGACTCTTAAGCATTGCAGTGCTGGCTGCTACTGGCTGAGGGCAGCGGTCGAGCAGTTAACATTCCTGGTTATTAATCGGGACGTTCAGTGTTCAATCTCGGCCCAGAAATCGCTTGTCTCGACTTCCGTTGTATCTTAAGTCCCTCCAGGTATATTTAGGCATATAACCTCAAAACAGGCCACGAGCTCTTCCTTCTGTATCCTTTCGAATCAATTAGTCATTAATCATCCCGTCATTCAACGTTGGTCTGAGCTACAGGCAGCGTCTTTATATAAACAAAAAATAAAATACGTGATCGTATGGACTTGATATATCCAGCTCAGAATATGTTCGAATGTCAGGTTCTTGTGAACACTGCAATAAATTATCTGGTTTCATGAAAGCCTGCGTTATTTCTTTACTAAATTTAGAAGGTCTTTGATTGAAGGTGAAATATATTTATTAATTGGTCAGCGCATTAAGTAACTTAAGTAACATATTTTTCCTTGTTGCGTAGAATGTAGTCATGGTTATTTGCGTTCAGATTGTTATGGGATGCACGATTCTTCACGCTTATGTAAGGCATTTGAAGATCTTCAGTACCAGACCCCAATATAGAGAAGGAAAGATGGCGTGATTGCAGCTGAAGCAAACGCAGATCTAGATTACGACAAAGTAGCAGAAACAGACCACAAAAGGGGCTAATGATGTACAAAAGAAGAGCATAAGACAGGGAAATGGGAAAAGGATAGCCATGGCCAAGGCAGCTTTCGTCACGAAGAGGATACTTCTCACTAGCAAGTTGGGCTTGGAGATGAAGTAGAAACTAGTGAAGTGTTACGTATGGAGCAGAGACTTGGACACTCAGGAAGAAGGAACAGAAATACCTGGAGAGTTTTGAAATGTGGTGTTGGAGAAGAATAGAGAAGACCAGGTGGACGGATCGAGTGACCAACGAAGAAGTATTGAGGAGAGTCAAAGAGCAAAGAATCATTCTGCAGGCGATTACACGAAGGAAAGCTAACTGGCTGGGACATATTATGAGAAGAAATGGATTACTGAGTGATATCACCGAAGGCCAGGTTGAAGGAAAGAGAGGACTAGGAAGAAGATTGATACAGCTAACCGACGACCTTAAACAAGGAAAGAAGATGACGTTCCAGGAATTAAAACGAGAAGCCGAGAATAGGGAACACTGAATAATAACTGAATAATAATAAAACAGGGAAGCCGTCGGCGAAGGACAGATTCTCATATGACTAAATTGTGCAGGCAGAAGACACTGATGACTGAGCACATAATCATGTCCACCGGTTTTAATGTTTGAGGTCATCATCAAGACATTTATTGTCGAATTATTTCTGACTCACTTAACGACGTTTTTCGACTACCTAAGTTATGTATCGTCACATGGTGGGTTGATTCATAACTTCCCAATTTATGAGGCACATCGAAAGTAGCAGCTGTCGTTAATTTTAAGGTACGATCACGACATTTTACTTAATGACTGAGAAAAACCATAAAACCTTAACTAGGTCATGGATCAACAGCGAGCTCTTGCGAACACAGTAATAAATCTTCCGGTGGCATAAAAGAGGGGAATTTCCTCAAGAGCTGTGTGACTACCTACACAGAAACCTTGTTCTCAGATTTTCGCGGCTCGAGTTCAGCTCCTTCCATGCAGAGATTTTCATCAGAAAACTTCTGACATACATGTTCAAGGCAACACAAATTTAGACCTCGAAATCCTAAATATCAAGATATGACAAGACAGGATTCATTTCACTGATAACATCGCATGCCAAAGACACCATTTTACTCGAAGGCATTACCAGCCTCAGAGTGACATAACTCGTAAGGTATTAATTCATAACTCATATTTTTGGGGTTAAGCTGCGTTGAACTTTGAAGGTTTTCGGATTGCACGCTGTTCCTCTGTTTACCCAAATACCTCGGCAATATCGTACCTAACCCTTGCAAGATGGCTGTAATCACCTCCCACCGCAGACGTTTGCCCTGAAGATTAAAGCTTCAATGTCGATAGATAAAGCATGGAACAGAAACATGGACGCACATGGCTTCAACCTTACTCGCCCACTTCTTAAACTTTGTAAACGATATATAAGAACTTTCGTATTTGAGAATACAAGAATGACATTTTTAAACTTTTGTGTCTGCACAGCCTCCGAATGCGAAACCACGACAACGGATAATTCATCATCGATAAGCCACAGCGCTGACCCGTCCGCAGTTCCAACAAACCTGGACACGTCTTCATCTCTAAAAAAAAAATAGCTAACTTTATTTTTGTATTCTCTCCTCTTTCCCAGCCATCTCTCAGCATTACCCAATTTCTTTTGATCAAAAGCTGGAACAACAGCTCTATTTATCAACACATCTACCATCCGTAGCACGCGCAATCAATCTTCAACATTTCTTCCCTATCTACACTTATCAGATTCTCGTCTCCCTCTAAAACCCACCGTACACTTTCCTACTTTCTTCGTGATACCGCTTTTCCACGGAATACTTCCTCCATCTCATCTTGCAGAATTTATACTTATTCCAGTCACACGCCCACCCCACCTCCAACTCCGCCATCACCTCTCGAGAATCACCTTCCACCCTCCAAGCTCTGTGAACAAACCCCTCCATCTTGCATCCCCCCCCAATGCGCATCCTCGTATATGTAATGAAGTAGAAAAACAGCGTGGAAACACAAGAAGTACCCCAATTTTTGGTCTCAAAATACGTTTCTTTTGCTAAACGCCACCTACTACAATATTCTTTTACAGTATCAAATTTTTAATTTAATTTAATAACTTATAATTTTACCCTAGTATGAAAAACCCAGTCCACTGACATCGAGTATACTCGGATTTCAGGTTCTTTCAGGGACCAGCACATACAGGCCTACACCACAATCTCTGTACGATGAGGAGGAGGATTAAATTAAACTTTAAACACATAACAGATGGATTTCCTACATTAATCCACATTAATTTTGGACTAGAGAAATTATAAGAACGTGTTAACTCGCTCAATGCAATATTGCAAGAGAACTGTATTTCTGACTTGGTACTTATTTCATAGAGACAATAACTATAATTGTATTTTTAACGAAAATGAGAAGTTCCACAATTTATAGGTCTAATCTTTACTAAATTCTATTAGGGTAATAATATAAATATTATGATACTGAAGGGATATTTAGCATACTAGGCGAAACAGTAAATACCTACAGAAGTTGAATCGAAAAATTTGAAAAAAGGAAACCTACAATACGTAATGGTGGATGAAAGGATAATATTAAAAAAGCCTTGAGAACACTGTGGAGTAAGGTGCAGTAGAATCTTGTGGATCAGGGTAGGATTCGGTATCGTGCTTTGTAAACTAGACAATTAATCTTGTACTTCCAGAAGGCATTAAATTTCTTCAACAGATTAGCAACCATCGAGTTCTTAAGAACTCGATTCCCCAATAGCCAGTCATATAGGGTTTCCATTAATATGCCCTTTTCCATGGTAACACAATCTTTCGTTATGCTTCCTCACGTCGCAACGTCAGAATGCACTCGATGTTTCTAAGCGACCAAGAGCATGCAGGCGTACCAACACTACTGTGAGTATTTAGTTTTAATCTCCCCTTTCTTAGACAGGATTATGGTCCAAGTTTGTCTGTAGTTTTAATATAAACTTGTTAAGTCGCAGAAAGTTCATTTCTCTTCAGAATATTTATATTTTCTACGCCGGTAACTTGTTAACTAACTAAATTCATTCCACTAATGAGAATATGAACGGTTTCATTTAGCCCCCTATAATTCTAGGTTTCGTTTGCATATATTAACAAGCCCCTTTAGCTGCCAACATTACTTTTAGGGTAAAATAAATTAATGAAATGTGAATGATTCTAGCTATGGCGCAACATACTCAGAAAGAATGTTTTTTGACGTAAATACGTCTATATTTTCGGGTCAGTGTCATTCGGCAAAACGTAAAACGAAAACTTGTAACGAAAAAGTGTAACTGCATTGTTATGTTACCTTGGAAACGTCAATTGTTTACTCGGCATTATTGTTACCAAGGAAACGTCATCTGTTTACTTAGCATTGTTGTTACCTATAAAACATTTCATTACATTACCTTACATTACCTTACATTACATTACATTACCTTACCTTACCTTACATTACTTTACATTACATTCAGCTACCACAGACCCATCTTAAGCGTAACTAATTCAAATTAAATAAGCAAAGTCTTAATCAAACTTTACTCAATTGTAAAGCGGATATAAAGGAAATATTTAGAATAAAGCCAATATATAAACTTCCTTTCCGTATAGACGTATTTACGTCAAATTCTCCGGAACCGTGGTTCCACTATCACTTTTTCCTATTATTTTACTAAGTCCATCGTCTAAATTACAAATAAAAATAAAAATACGTTTCAGAATGTGCACATTCTTTTATTGGCTCGCTCAACTAGGGCACCCAGCAGCTGGGGTTTCTACCATTTGTTTTTTTACGTGAAGAGGGAAGAATATCCAGCTTCCGAAACATCTTAATTTTTATTTCTAATGTAGACGACGGACGTTAAAAAAGAATAATTTTCACTAATTAAACTAACATTATCTTTATTTTCCTTGGTATTTCTGACTTTCATACGCATTTTCAGATTATTTTACAACGCGATGGTCTTAATGCAGCCAGTAAGTAACGTGCTCTTGTTTCCTATAAACCCATTGCGTTCTTAAGTACCACTTCACAAAATATATAGAATGGGATCTGTTTCACGCACGATATAAATGTTATTAAATATCCTCAATTGTCAATCACATTAAAGTGCAACGGTGGGACTTTCATATAACATCGAAGCGAGGACTTTTGAGAGAAAGCAGCGCTGAAACGTTTTCCGCAGCCACTAAACTTTCTCTGTTGTTCATTACCTAATTCCACTTCGTTCACTTACATCAATCCTCCCTTTATTGAACACCTCCCACCCCCACCCCCCGAAAAAATATCAAAACTTCAACAGGTTCCGCGTTGGAAATATTCCCCACGCAATTAAAAGCAATAATAGTTGAACCTGAAACGCGCAGCAGGATAATAGGATTTCCAATGTGTGTTTCTGCCTCCCCCCGCTTCATCACCATCTCGTCATCCATTATGATTTACAATTCAATCGAGCAGTGCTAGAAAATTTATCCGATTTCATGTCAAAGAACGGAAACTGGGAAGAAAAATTACACAGCTGCCGTTCTCATCCTTTGCTCCACTATTTACGACCTTGAAATTGTGGCTGTCTAAAGTGCACAGTCTTATTTTACGTCGCTTTCATGTTTTAAGGAAAAGAATCAATTTTACTCAACATTTTCCTCAACTATAAACAAAAATGCCGATTAACAATTAATAATAAAAATTAACCCCTAGACCAGTGGTTTTCAACCTTTTTTGTTCGCGTACCCCCAGATATAATTTCTCTTTAACTTTGTACCCCCAAAGTTGTTGGTGTATAATTCAAGTTATACATAGTATATAATCTACAACTAAAATAAATTATATTACTGATTATTAAGTATTTATCATATAATAATATATATTTTTATAAATTTCATGTACCCCCTAAGATGTCTTCGCGTACCCCCGGGGGTACGCGTACCCCAGGTTAATTACCACTGCCCTAGACGACGCTTCTGAGACGCATTTACCAATCAGAGCAACCAATTCAGAAAGTCGCTGAACAGTTTAAACAATAATGACTAGTTTAAGCATCACATCAAGAAATGTCTGTAATAGAAAACAAAATATATAATTCCCGTTTCAGACAGGAATCAGCCACACAAGTAAAGTTGAACGCAACTGTCACTTCTCGGCTCCCAGGTGGAACTGCATGACTCACCACCAAGAGCTACAAGGTTTTTCCAGTACGAGTCGAATATCGCTACATATAAACATTAAAATAAACTTACCAATACTACAGTAGTTCCTGCCAGAAGCCGAAAAGTGACAGTTACGTTGAACTCTATCAGTGTTTTACTCAGTTATATTTTACATAACGATGCTGTCTGTAGCTCAGATTAAACAGCAACGAATTATAAGGTGACAAGCGAATGAAAAACTATAAAAATATAAGAAACGGCCGTGGACTACTTTAATGTGTTGTTCTGGTTTTCATATAAAAGCCTGGGATTAAGCACGAACACCCTCAGCCAGAATATCCTGTCTCCGGAACAAGATTTGAACCAGGTACCTCCCGAAAATAACGCACTAATAATAACCATTCGACCATTAGGTTCGGTAAGGCACCAGATAGCAGGCCTGCAAATGACATACACATATAAGAAAGCAAATTGTTCAAACTGCAAACCAGAAATCCGTACACAAACAACATTACTACAGAGCAGAAAGCGGTTCCATTTATTTTTTTTAATTTACTTTTTTTTTAACCCCACGCAATTTCCGCTTATTTCAGGGCCGACAAAATAATTTTATGTAGAACCATCCTAAAGCAATACGCAACCTTTCAAAATTGAGCTCTACAATTAAATTTGTATGTGGTAAAGCCGGGAGACTGTTATATCTCGAAATGAGTTACAGAAATGCATGCTGGGAAATGGAACCCCACGCACTGTGAACGGGTCATAAACGTATTTGTATGTGGTTTAGATTCAACTGTGACAGGAAACAGTAGATCCTCCTGATTTCGATGAACTACTGCCAGCAAAACAAAGAACTGCCTCAAGGCTACAGGAACTACAGTTACAGTAACACAAAACCAGACTAAAATACCTCAGCGTCACATATATAATCTTTTTTACTGAATTACATTTTCCCAGACTGATGCCACGCATGGAACACAATGAGCAAAGGGTTGAGTTGCGTTAATCAAAGTCTCTACCCCAAACCCTCAAACGCCCATCACGGTATAAAAACTCGTTTATTTTCCGTTTGGTACAAGAACAACGTATCCAAGGGGGAATACGAGTACGTCACTACGTTTCGACATCGATGTGAGGTGTGGATCGATTACAGTTTAGCGCTCAACGGGCACTTAGTCGATCAATAAAGATCTAACAGCGAGGTTTACATCATAAGCTGAGGAGACAAGAATGAGGCGGGCGAAGATATTTTATCACTATATAAACTTCGCATTTTATATGTGAAAGTTCTTATTCTTTTTTACTGGATCGTTTCAGCTGAACATCATCTTGGCGAAGAGCCCATCACAAAGTCAGGGTACGAAAGTTTTGTTAATACGGATCCAAAGTGTTCACTTTACAACTCACTTTGCACAGGGAGACACTAAAATGCCAACATTTCGCAGTACAGGTGTCTGGCTGTGTCCCTCCGAGCGAACGTTTATAGTTCATAGGTGATCAGACATGCTGAAGAATTACCGAAAGAAATTTTTGAAACGAATGGACTGCTTTCCTCTTAAAAACTTGTTTACCACGTTAGTATGTCTAACGGTAACTAGGTTATAATTATTCAAATAAATCGTTCAACTTAAGTTCACGAATTTCATAAATGCACTAAATTAAAAAAAATTTGGTGAATAATTTTCGTATCAACTGTTTTATAATACTTATACACGAATCAAAATTATTATTATTATTTTTATTGTTATTACTATTATTATTATTATTATGGAATAGGATAGATTCTTGTCAAATTATGAACGTCAGCTGTGAGTAATTTAAAAATATAATAAACCACGTGGGTTCTGTAAAATAATTATTTAAACGATAGTTCATTGCGAAATGTTCATCGACAGCTGAGACTATCTTAAAAGTAAACCCTCTGCGATACATTTCAATAATTTAAATAATATAAGCTTTTTTAAATAACGGTACGCCTAACATCTGAAGTTCGCTGTGATCTCATATAGACACCCATTTGACTCTGTAAAGGGCGAAAATTATTAAAGGCATAAACAAACTTGATAATCTCCAATGCAACACATAACTTTGATGGAAATACCAGTTGTCTATGAAAATTATAATTGATAAATGAGCTCTTGACTGAAATGTAAAAGGAGGTGTAACAAGTACTCAGCACTTCCCTGTAAAAGCTCAGGACTGCTCTCAATGTAAAAATATAATGAAATTATAAAGACAAAATAAAACATTTCAAAATGAGGATATCTGCTACCGTGTAACCACGTGATACACATATATACAGACATGCAAGTGTTAAATCAGTGACATATGAACTATTAGCAGAAAAAATTAATTGCAATCAGCTACAACAACAACAAACATCACAACAACACTCCAGTGATGTCATCCGTTAACAGACACACTTGAAACGTAAACAATTACGCGATTCTCACGTATGATGAAGCAATGGCATCTGGCGTTCATTAGGCGTAGGAGCCATGTGCCGATTTAGCATTCTAACCTCTTACGTGGTTTATAAAGCTCATAATTATACCATAATTACGCAGGAAGAACGTCCTAAAGTACAGTAATAATAAATGGTTTATTAGGTAAATCAGTCTCAAACGAGTGTGCTACCTAACACGTTAGGAAGCTACACAAAGTAGATATATAACTTACAGACCAATTACTGAAAATATAACAGTCGCTCAGCTAGTAAACAAATTCCCCGCCTTTTATATAACACAATGTTCATTGCCGTATTCACAACAGCCCACCACCAGACCCTGTTCTCAGCCACATGAATTCAGTCCATTTCTTAAAGATCTTTTCATACATTAACATCCCATCAACACTTAGATCTTCCCAGTGGTCTCTCCCTTTAAAGTTTCCCAATCATTATTTTGTGTTCATTTATAATGTTTCATGCGCGCTAGATGCTAGCTCATTTCATCCTCGATGATGTTTTATCCTAACCAAATGTAGTAAATAGCACAAATCATGAAGTTCCTCATCGTATATTTATCTCTATTCTGTTACTTATCTCTTAGATCGAAATATTCTCTACATAAAAGCGGTATTACAGTTTTCTGTGACACCGCGCCGTGTAGTCTCATAGAAGTTTACCGACGTTTCAGAGGTGTTCACAGCTTCTATCATCAGAGCGATAATAATTTTCAACTCCCTGATGACGGGGGCTGAAAATACCTCTGTATCATCGGTCAACTGCTACGTCACTACATGGCGCAGTATCCCTCAATATTTTAATATTAAACTGAATATAATCGTCATATTAAAAAGTACAGCTTTGTTACGCGGCGAACAATCGGTTTGTCACCAGCAAAGTACAATCCTTTCGTATCACCACCTTGTTACAAATTAGCCACGTCCAGTGTGATACGAGTGAACTCGGAATTCTGGCCCCGTGTGCACACGCCAACCCTGCCACTTATGTAACTTTTCCTACGCCACCCCTAATACCTTTTTAGAATGTCTTTTATCTCTTCCTGCTTCTTCCTCTCTGGATATATGATTTTTCTCTCACCCTTCTTCACATTCTCGTCCGAAATCCACTGTCCTCCTTTTCTTTACTTAAGCCTTCACAATGTTTGCGATGTGTTAACATTGCAGTTCGTGCGTTTGTAACATTTCCCCCCTATAAAAAGATAGGAAACGCTGAACAAACTTCATAGATCGTGCTGTGTAAAATTCTCTTCAAACTCCCCACAACAAACGTAGTGTATTTATGTCGTGCTCAAAATTAAACATTTGTTTTCCTGTTTTGTGGCTGACGTATTTGCTTAACAACAAAGGCCGGATGTTATTCACAACAATTAACTCTGTTGTTTCAAATGTTACATCTTTCTGTTATGAGGCGTATTACCCCAGAAAGCGAAACATGGAAACGTGAAGTGTTCTGCCCAAAGACAGAGCTCGACCCCTGTACGACAGACAACGGGTGTTGCACATTTTCCGAAAACCAGGCAGTGTTCTGCCTTTGCACTGCCTCCCGGATTACCGACTTAATTTTGCTGAGGTTTTTTCAATTAACGATTAAAACACGACGTGTATCAACTGATCGCACTTCCTTCACCTCGAAAGACGCTGGTAAAAGGCGCTCTAGAATCAAGCAGTCTAGATATACTTAAAGTAGATTACAATATAGAACACAGTACTTGAATAAAGCCATGAAAGATTTACAGGCACAACGCTGTGAAGTCTATACTAAATTAACAGACATTATGGCAAACTGAATTACCTATTCTCCCCTGAAAAGCATTTGTCTTTAATTTGCTTTGCAGCTGTTAAATCCAGCGTGTTTTCAGCCAACCTTCGTATTAGTCTAACAGAGTTAACTGATTTATAACAATTTTCATTCAGAATATATAATTAACCTACTCCAACGAGCAGGCAGATTCAACTAGCAGTGTTAAGTCTGGTTATAAGTCCAGGGGTTTGCCGAAGAAAGGCTTTTAAATTATTCAAAGAATTTCGAAACTCATTTTTTCAAACGCATATTTCTGCCGATCTGTAGGAATCTGAATGACTATAATCTCGTCTGTTTGAGGACATCTATAGGTCAACGTCACCTCAAGATCACAAGAATATAAGTCCAAGGTTTCGAGGATTATAGGACTTTAAATGTTCGAAGATCAATACAAGAACAATTTTTCTCAGACATACATCTACCTATCTTTATTAAATTGAGTGACCATAATCATGTTATTTTGAAGCCACTTATAAACTTCATAAGTCAGGGCAATTTCATTCCAAAAGATGGGGCTATTTGAGAAGAATAAGTTCACTTAATTTAGGTTGGGTTGGGTTAAGTTAGGTTAGGTTAGGTTAGGTTACGTTAGGTTAAGATAGGTTAGGTTTGAGTAGGATGTGTTAGTTTATGTTTTGGACCCTTGCGTTGCGTATTGTGGTTAGGTTTGTATCATTTTAGCTTTTGTTATTACGGGATAGGTATGTCAGGTATCTGTCAATGCCATTAAAGTTCAAGGTCATTAGAAAACGAATTTTTCCCTCACTTAATTCTGAGGAAACATTGCTTCGCAATTTGTAATCTTTATTAATCATTATTAGGATTATTACATCGAGGAAAACGACATGGGACGGACACGTAGAACGAATGGTTGATATCAGAATTGTTTTAAATTTTATCGAAAAACATAAAGAAAGAGACCACCACTTGGAAGATAATATTAAAATAAATCATAATTAAATAAAATGGAAGTGTTTAAATTGCATTAATCTGGCTGTAGATAAAGACCTGTGACCGGCTTCTTTTAGTGCGAAAATGAACCTTAGTGTCCCACGGAGGGTGACGAATTTCTTTACCAGCCTGTAAAGAAGGATTTTCTACATGCAGTTAGTTCTGTATTAAGTGGATTACTCACGCTGAGAGGTGTTGGGGCGGCGCACAGTGGGACATACCCTCCAAAGTCCGATCTTGAAGGTGATGCTGGTGGAGATGTCGCTGTTGGGGAGGCGAATTGGCTCGCGGGTAAAGAGCCACACGTTGCTCACGAATGCCGTCAGCAAAGTGACCAAGGACAGAACACCCCAGAGGATGCCCAGCCAGGACAAAGCAGTGCTGCTGCGCGCGTAGCACATCCCAACAATAACAGCGGCTACCAGTTTCTGTCCATACGAGTAGTTCACTCCACTACACAACACCTGAGATTTTTCGCATTGCCACTTGAATCAGCAAAATCTCTGCAAAGTTTGACTTTTCTCTCTCAACGCAGACGATGAAAATCAACATTTTTACAAAAGCTGCAGATGTACACACTTTTATCTGTTCTCTTACTTCAAGTGGACACTCAGTGTTTACTTCCGACTCCACTGTAAGAATCACCACAGTTAAAACACGAAGTACAATTCTCACAAATTCATATTTCAGAACTCCGGAAACGCGCTGTGTTCGACCACAGTTTCACTTCATAATCTAAGAGTATGTATTTCCGATATGCAAATGAGTATAAACTGTCAACACGACACCTTTTTACAGTAACATTCTTTGCTATACAATTCTCTAGTCAAGAAACAACTCCTACACGTTTCTTATACAGACACTTTATCGGACTCCACTTTTAGTCCCGGAACCTGAATACGACGTCCATTTTTCAAGTTGAATGCCGCGTAAGAAAATTATACGTGCATTTTAAACTGAAAGTCCGACATTCTGCACATACTTTGTGTTTATAATTTGTCTATATAATTCATCCTGATGCTAAGCATTTGTAGACCAATTCCATACACTTATGTTAAATCCCAAGCGTCTTTTGTCACTCAAAATATAGAGTGACAATACGTGACTAAGGTTGATATTTTCAAGTACACAAATATTCAATGTTCATATTTATAAAGTTAAAATCTGTTCAATGCCTCCATTCTTCCATATGAAACTGCGTGAATTATTCTTTGCACTTGTTAAATGAACGTATTATAACTTTGTTCATTTCTGCTTTCTTTAATCTTCACACTTTCAGATAAATTTCGTTACTTTCGTTCGAAATGTGTAGTTATAAACAGTCAGAGAAATTTATTACGCATATACGAGTTACCAAATTTGCCCCTTATTTTTTTTTAAAAAATTTTCTTCTTACTTTCTGATTTCGATAAAACTACACATACATTTTCTGTACTAATGGTTTCAGAGTTATACTTATTACGTCACTTACTTTTAATCCGAGATAATTTGATAATTTTCCATCACTTACTTATTTTTAGTCTCCACATGGTTCAATTTCAACGCCAAGTCGATAGGAGCCATTACCTTTTTGCTCTGTTGGTAATGAATACTCAGTTTATCAGCAGTTACGAAATGTTTTGAATAGTTTCAACAAAACAGATTTCTGCGTATGTGCGCTGTAGATTACCCACTCTCCACATATGACTTCATGAGTAGTAAATTATTTTAAACTTTACGAGAAGACAATTAAATATTTGTGATAATTATAACTAACTGATGTAAGCACGTGTCTAAGATCTAATACGTAATAGAATAAAATTCTTCAAGGGCAGAAGATCACAGTCGAAAGTCATTTCGTATCAACTTGATTACACGTTTATTAAACGTTCCATAGCTAAATATTCTTAGTCACTGTATTCTGCCATGTATCTTTTTCATCTGGTATACGAAAATTAATAGACGTCTTTATGGAAGTTATATAAACTTGCGACAAAATTGAATCAAGTTTAATCTTAGAACGTAGGACAATAAACTCTGGAAATCCTCGTCACTCTGTCCTCCTCTCTTTCGCTTGGTACTTTATTTAGTAAATAATATGCCTCTGTGCAAGAACTTGAGCAGATTACATAAGCAACAAAGTAGTCTTCTGTATGTTCATTACTTGATCTTCCTACAGCGTCACCTTCAAACGCTGAACTTCATCTGTAGTAGATTTTATACATGTAACTCATGCGTTATTACCAGGAATGCGTGTACTAATGAAACTCTTCATTGTTCGTGAAACATAATTTCGCGTCATATAATATTTTACATGGGATATTGTTCTGTGGTAAGAAGAAGGGAGGTCTTTTCTTTTAAAGTTAATGTATCCCGTATGTATCAGGCTTTTGTTTCACATAGCTCTCGAAGGATCACTTCGTGTCCAATAAATATTCACAGCATCAGTGTTACATTATTTGCTTCTAGCATCCTGCCACGTCGGCTTCTATCTTCCTGTGTTTTCATTTCGTCTTTTTATCACACCAGTCTCAGTTCCCATTCTTCATCCTCTTATCGATCTGCCCCGTCCTCTCTTCCTGTGACATTCCTTCCTTCAGTTCCGTGGCAACTGCAAATATAAAAAGGACAGGCGTTGGTTACAGTGGCAACATGAGGCTTTATATACTGTGAGTAGGTAAGGAAGAATGCAAGTGAATAGGAGGGAAACACAGAAAACAAAGAAAATAATGGTCTATAGAGAGGAGACACGCATGTTAATAAAATTACAAAATATGGAACAACAAAAACAAATGAGGATAATTAGCGGAGAGGTGGATATTAAAACAGAAGAAAGACGAAAGGCTCTGCAAATGGGGAAAATGGTAAAGACAGGATAACAAATGTAGAAAGAACTACCAAATTATTAAGGACATAAAATAATATAAGAAAATTTAACATAATATAACAAATTAAACATACGTAGTATGTACCATAATACGACGCAATGATATGACAATATAATGTATCAAAATTTTAAAAGCTCTCTAATCAAACAATAAGTTGACAAGCGAAATATTTTATTCTCACACCGTGCAGAAGAAAACACAGAGAAATCCAGGTGCATGCTCACAATTTTGTCACCAGACTAGAGGATAAAATCATTATATTGAGGTAGAATATAACACATTTGAAACTGGGGTAAAATTCAGAACGACGCATTCAAGAGGGAGTCCAGGGCAGACAGAATTTGAGGATGGCTTTTTACCGTGTAGGTCAGAATCCCTACTCTCATCCGAACATAATCTGGGCGAACAAATCCAAGAAGAATGACAAGGTAGAGGCATACAGCACGTATACAAAATTCTGGTTGCACAGCCTCGAGAAAAGATAACACTTGGAACGCCTAGGTCGGAGGATAATACAAAAATGGATCACAGGTAAAAAGTATTTTGGGGTGTGCACTAGCTTCTTTTGGTTCAGGACAGGGGCCAACAGGGGGCTCTTACGAATACCGCAGCGCGCCCTCGGTTTTCATAAAAAAAGTAAATTTCTTGACCATATGTGCGTGCTACTAGCGTCTCTAAAGGAACCACCTTCAATTTCTTAGTTAATTTTTCTTCATGATAAGTAGGTACATTATTTTTATGTGTGACGGATATTCATATTATGACATTTTGTTTGTGACTGTAATGACTTTGTGTTTTGTGCGAAAAGGTGAAGGAAAACGACTGAAATTGACTTTGTGAAAGCATTAAATATGAAGTAAGACTTGAGGTTCTCACAGCGGTGAGTATGAAGATTTCCGTCTTCTGGGCAGGCTACACCTTTCACTTTCCGGCCTATAAACCTAGCACCTCACACCCTATTGGCATATTCATCACCCTGATGACGGAGGCAGTATGACCTCTGAAATCTTCATTAAATACGAACATCACGCTTAATTCCAGAAAGAAACTGAAGTCGTACGTGATATTTGGTAGTTCAGATTTTATGGTTTATCTGTTACCCTAAAACAGCTCCAGTAGCTAAAGATCCTTGACAAACAAAATTCCCCAATGCCAAATGTAAGCTGAGGAGTGTCCTTGAAGGTAAATCACATACAATTCAATATCAGGATGATTTAGGATTGTGTTCAGCGGATTTATTGCTGCTAAACGAAGGTGCACAAAATACGTGGTACTAATGACACATTCAAAATGTAGTGTACATTTATTTAAATCGCTTTTACTTCTATAAAATTCTTACTAAACCTGTGATGTAATCTGTGTTAATGTACGGTCCATGTTTCGGGATGCCTTACGTAATCAAACACACAGTACAACTTCCGATAGACATGATAAAACATCATTAAACACTAACATACTTTCACCTGGAAGGGAAACCATGATGAAAATTGGTTACAAGCCACAGTTTATGGAATTATGGAATACATCACAAATTACGTCACCTGTTCATACAACCACATTCATTAAAGTTCAGTTCTAGCGATATGTTTATGTAATTATTATAGACAGTGAACTGTTCATGATGGTAACATGCGCCCAGATCTCTACGTACGGTTATTAAAAGTTTATACACAGCGAGAATCGGAAAAAAAAACAGTCCATATAGACTGGTCTCAAAAACATTGTGACCAAATATCAGAGGGTCATTCCATTAGACCGGAATCCTAGGTTTTAAAGAACGAAGCGTCATCTAAAAACCTTTGTAAAATTTGTTTGTAAGCAGATAATTCGGATAAAAGTTGATTTTTTTAAGTGTGATATGGTAAATTAAACATGCAAACTATCAGAATGAACTTGTCTTAAACGCAACCAACTAATGTTCGTAACTTTATTCACCACAACATAGGACACATAAGTTACGTATGAGTTGAAACGATCACTGTAGGTTTATAGTATTCAAAGAAATATCTACCAACCTTCCAAGTTAAATTTGCGTTTCCCGGCTTTCTACAGAATATGTGAAGTCAGTCGAATATTGGATCACACGTGTATCTCCTGCAGTATATTTCTTTATACTTTTTTACTCAATAGGTCCTGGAAGTATTGGCTATCCAGCTTTGAGGTCTCTGGTTGTAGATTTACGGTGCATGACACACTCGTCTCTCAAACGACTAAGCTGTTGACAACTTAATAATCATCAAATAAGGCAAATCTGATTATAATGGGAGCTGAACGTACGTTTTCCGTTCCAAAAAAGTTTCTCTTCAGTACAGGTACTTACAGATAATTATCATAGTTATTATTCGTTCTCAACAAGGGAAATGATCTAGCTTCGTTATCTGTTTTTTATATTCTTTAAAGTTTTACAATTATATTAGTGTTCCCTAGGTGGATTATTTGTTTTTATTTATATTTCTTCATTTTTTGCTCTGTGTTAATATTGTTTCTATTTTGGGTTTGCCTGTACTTGGCAGTTACATTTAATACTGTACAAGTATAAGTTTAGTTAATCCGTTTGTGTAATATTATTCATTATTATTTCACTATTATTGTATATTTATCAGTGTCTTCCTCTTATTGGCTTCTTGCTGTTGGCAAACACGTAAATAAATTAATTGAATTAGTATTATTATTATAGTTAATATTATTACCTATAAAGTAAAACACAAATAAAGCTAATCACATACGAGTAAATTATTCTAATTGTCCAACAAAAAAGTTTCGTAACTGATTTCCACATCTAGCAGTTCCAGTTCACATAACAGAACTCGAGGAAATTTCCTCCTGTGACACAAATTAAATTTATTGTACCAGCTGTAAAGTCATATGCTGGGATCACACATGAATAGCAAACTCACACCCCTTCAGCTGCAGGACGGCAACTTCTCCGGCAGCTGCGTATTGCGGGATAATCTATGCAGGGTGCTACAGGCGTTAACAGAGCAACACGCTGGGTCTATATCACCCAACACATATTCTCGCTGCACATATTGACTAACACATAACGCGACAGGAATGTAAGAACTTTTAGTCGAAATATGAAAACCTGACTTCATAATCGTCTCCAGTTTAAAACGCAAATAAGAGTGAAATATACATAAAATGTTGTTGTGTATACATGAATGCCCTAAGGGAAGAAGAATACAGGTTTGTGTCCTTTGAGAAGAGGATGTTGAGGAGAGTATATTGACGGGGGCATGGATAAAATTGCGTATAAGTGAATTTCATACTTTGGACTATTCATAAAAACTAGTTGATCATATCGAGGAGCACATAGAGTACGGGTGGGACACATAGAACTCATGAGGATACCATAAATGCATGCACATTTATGTCGAATACGAAACGAAACGGACCAACTGGGAGTCTTTGACGAGAAGGAGGAAAACATTACGATATAATGTAACTTAAAGTAACAAGACGTGAGGTGGATTGGATTAAGCGGCTGA